TGCCAGACACCCTGTATATATGAATATATATAATGTTTAAAATTTTAGCATAAAAAATTAAATTTTTATCTTTGAATTGTAAATTCACAACATGTAGAAATTTACACCTATAAAAGTCGGTCTCAATATTATCCACAATAATTGTTATAAATTTACACAACAGTATCTTACAGTGTAAATCGTCGCTAAATTCGTGCTGAAGATCATTGTGTATTTGCAAAATGTAATGTTGCTGACATAGCATTCGGCTCAAAGGACCAAAATGTTTCCGACTAGATGCTGCGCAAGTTGAATGTATGACAAAATTAAATGGACAAAATTAACAATAATTCAACGCATACACTCAAAGCACAAATTAAAATAAATTTTTATGTGGGACATTATAAAATATAATTACATTTACTACACACAAAAGAAACTTCATTTACATTATTATGTGTAAATTTGTGATTAATATAACATTGTGGAATATGCGCGATGAATTACGTGTAATTTGGCAGGAAAGCCACGTGATAAAGTCACCAAAGGCCAATTGAACGTTTAAGCAGAATTTGTAACAAATTATGGCAATACAGTACAATAGCATAGTCGCGTGATGCATGGAGTGAGCATCTTTCGAGTCATGGCGTACAGACAATCAGTCGAAATTAATGTAATAATGATAAGATAATCAAAGATAACTAACGTTCTCGACGAACGAGTGATCTCCGAGTCGACACGTGAAATATTCGATCAGCGCGTCGCTGAATGCATGGCGGTAACTACTGTACACCCGTGTTATTTGCGCAAGCAAAATAAAGAGATCAACGCAAGCCACTCAGTTGCGAAGTTTTATATGAGCAAGAATAGAAATTCTTGAAACCAATTTGATTTTATTTTTTAATAAAAGCTTTTTTTTGACGATATAACATTCGATTTGCGACGGATTGACCTATGATAGGCTGCGATGCAATCATCGCGCACACGGAGCTTTGCCTTGATTAAAGGTATCTCAAATCAGTGTTATTAGCTCGTATTAAGGTCGCATTTTTTGAACAACAGCAATTGTCAAAATTTCTGACGATTCTTTGACTATTTTTAAAGACTGTTTCTCGAATATTCTATGACAGAATATTTGTCGGTATAATTATGTGCAACAAGAATTTGCACGAGATCTATCAAGTGCAACAATAATTTAATGCGGTGCTGTACACTGTGTTCGATACCGATGTGATTTATTTCATAGCTCATTTTAATATTTGAAACCGTACTTTGTTTATTTCGGAAACAATACAAAGATAAATACACAAAAATTTTATAATATTGGAAATTTAAAAAATTGTAGAAATATTAAATAAAATTCAGCTTAAATAAAGGTAAATTTTCGAAATTTTTCCTGCAAATATTTTATCCAATATTCAGTTCAAAATCGATCTGACTTAAAATTGTTAATTAAAGTTGGAAAATTGCAGATAACAGATTATAATTCAATTTTTCAGAACAAAATACATTAAATTAAAATTACTCGATTGGTCTAATTTTAATCTCCAATTCGTAAACTCAGTCTTTAAAATCTGGTCATCTCCGATATGGATTTATTGAAATGTAATACAAAAATCTGTTGTTGAGAAAAAATTGAATTACAATTTTATACATTTAAGTTTTTTAAACATTACTTGCAAGTTTAAGAGAATAATAATATAACATTGTAAATTGTTAAAATTGATCAATGATTATGCTGCTAGTTAAGCACTTTTGTCTGCTAATGTTGTAAATTAAGAATATATAAATATATTTCATAACATTCGAATAAAATATTAAAAGGTACAGATATTAATGCGCTTTTATATTTTTGCCATCAACATAAGAAAGGTAAAAGAAAGGTGTGTGATATTTCGATTATATAATTGCATTCTAATATAATTATAATCGCAATACTCATGTTTATAGAAATTGTTAATATAATGTCAGCAATATAATAGCCTTATACGTATAGTATTGCCAAAAATAACCAACCTGTAGTTAAAACATGTATGAAAATATGCTTGGTGCCAAAAAGCAATATTAATTATGATTACTGCTATTTTTCTTTTCTCTCAGTATATCAATTGCATTTATTACAATATCAATAAATTTAGCATTACAAATATTTTTTTGATATAGTAATAATATGTAAGATACAAATAATTAAATATATAATATTTCTTTAAGCATTATTTGTTTAAAGGACTAGTTGTAATATGTTTCATACAGAGTGCCATTGGTATGCAAAGGGCCGTGAAATGTCACCGCATCACTTGATATTTGTTGGATAGGCTTGACCGACGTTTTAATATTTACATTTAAAAGAAAAACTATATTATGTTTCTTCCTTTATTTTCTTCTATCAAACACTTTTTGATAGAAAGACTTCTGTATATCATATTTAGTTATCTGCGTCTAGTCAGTTGAAACAGACACAATGTCACAAGTGGAGATAACTGAAGACAACGTGTGGGATCATTATGAAAGAATTTTCGAAGGGAAATTTCGTGCAAAATGCAAGATTTGCAAATCAAGTTTGGCCTACGTCCAGTATGGAAATTTTATAGCACATTTACGTATCATGCATAAAAACGTTTTCAA